GAGTCAGAAATCCCATTATTTGTCCTAGAAACATAAATGAAATAAGAAGTTGAACATGTATTTTAAATGAATAATAAATCATTTTTTACGATTATATGTATATTATATGATCTTAACTATATACATCATTAATATAAATATTTTGAATAAAATGAAACAAATATACTAAGAATAAATATGTATATATTTATGTTCAATTATTTTTGGATATCGATTCGGGTTCGGGTATTACATGTCGGGTTCGAATATCCAATTTCTATTAACTTAACTCCATTCAGATATTTTGCTACTTTGGTTTAGATTTTGATTCGGATATTCTGATTAGGTTCGGACACGAGTTCGGGTTTTGGGTAAAGTGCCGACCTCTACGAGAAACTACTCAAAACGTGATGGTATTTTTAGTTGGGGAGAAAAAGATGAAAATGAATATGTTTACATGTTATGTCGGAAGACTGTCCCCTATGATTTAAAGTAAACTAGGCTGTATAATTTATATTACTTTTTCGACTGTGATTAGTCGTTATCAGCCGATTTATTTGGTTTTAATAATTATATGTGATTATAACTTTTTCGATCGGGAATCATGTTCATAACATCGCAGTGTGATTATTCATGAAAATGATGGAGGATAAAAATAAATTTGTTTAGCATATACTTTATCAAAGTTACGGATTTCAAATACTTTGTTATCTTTGAATTTATGTTGTCAAGCAAAGTTTAAATTGAGTGATTATTAAGCACAAATAATATTGTCTCCGTGTCAGCATTTTAATTTTTAACGAGTCATCTTCAGTCACCAACCATCAACATTGTGCCCTTTACAATATACTTAGTTAAGATTAGGTGCTAATAGCTATGTGTAATACCTTTAGTAACAAAAAGTTCCTGACAAAAATTCTCGTTTTCATGTACATCCAACTAAACATCTCATGACACCTTTTCGAAGAATATCTATCACTTTAAAATCATTAAACATTTATTAATCTTTTTGTCATATGAAATAAGTTGCGGAAGAAGCTAGCCTTCTAAAGCATTTTTTTTAACAACTGATTATGTCTTAGATATGGATATAAGGTATATTATTACTAGCCTAGCTGATATAGCCTTCTATTTCTTAATAATATACTGAAACAAAATCTGTACATTTATTCTCTTAAAGAGTTAAATTATTTATTATTGATATAGAGACTAAAATTTTGGGTTTAACTGACGATATATATATAATCGGTAAAAACTTATGGCAAAAATGATAGTAAAAATATCAAATTATTTAAATTATTAAAGATATTGATACAAGATAGTAGTGCATAAATAAAATAGGTCTTTTTCTGCACCAAGTGCAGCAATAAAAGTTTTAAAAGTAAAATTATATTTAAAAATAAAATTTAGTTAATTTTTAAATTCATTATTTTGTTACATTATTACTTTTATGTTAATTATATGTAAAAATTAAGATAAAATAAAAAACTTTTATTTAAATTTAAATTTAATAATACATATGTATATATATATTTAAATTAAATTTTGGAAAGATTTTTTTTTTATCTTTTTTCTTTTGTTTTAAATATGTTTAAATCAGATTCTATACAATTAAGTGAAAATTTTGTTAGGTACATAATTATCAAAATATCAAATTAAATAATATTTCTAAAATTTCTAGATGTTATAAATAAAACTAACGGTTTTAGGATTAGAAAATTATAAGTTTTTTAAAACCCCGCATAAAATTTTGTAAAAAAAACTTATTAACAAAAATTATATAATTATAAAAAATCGACTTGGAAAATATTTCAAAATTTATAAATAGTGTTATATTTCTATTTTTACTATTATATTATTTATTTTTGTGTTAATGATAATTTATGAGTCATTACCATATACTAAAAACTTACCAAATATAAATATTAACATTAAATGTAAATGTCACAATTAACTATAACCCATGTCATTATTTTTTGGTGAAACTGATTGTGATAATGATACATGTCAAAATCACTTCACAAATAATACATAAGAGATTTGCAAATCTTACCATTTTTTGTATTGTAAATATTTTTCCTTTTGTTGATAAAAATATTTACTATTTTTAAAAAGATCATTAAAATAGAAAAGATAAGGTAATACCTTATAAAAGATATATATGTTGAAATTTCTCAGGGTTTACTTTGACAAATTGTTTATCAGAACCAACACATTCAGAGAAAATATATACACAATTTTCATAATTCAATATTTTATTTTTCATATTTTAGAAACTGTACTAATATTTCGTATAAATTAACAAATTTAATAAGATTGGTATAAATTATTTGGTATAAATTATTTACCAAATTTTTTTATCAGAACTAACACATTCAGAGAAAATATTTACACAATTTTCAAAATCCATGCATTTTATTTTCATATTTTAAAACATTAAAATACTAATATGTGGTATAAATTACCAACTTTTAATAATATTTTGGTTGCTTATTGTTTATGAGGTATTTTCACGAGTTTGCATATTTCTGATCTATTTTCACAAGTCTTTCCATGTTTTGATTTAATTTTTTGGCATAAGGTACTTGTCGTTTGCATGGAAAGTCGGAATTAAGGAAAATAATCGAGAAGAGACAACAAACAATAACAAAACTTATATTCTAAACTACACCAAAAGTATGTAGACAAGTTTTAAGTGAAATTGGTTTGGTGGACAGAGGAACAAAAAAGCTGGAAATTTGTATATGATCAATCTCTCTCATCTGTAATTGTAATTCGATCTCGGAGTGCTTGTCTAAGAGAGAAAGAGACAGAGCGAGAAGGAGCATATAATGCTGTGATTATAAAAAGATCGTATGTTGTGTCAATCATTTAGCTTTTTTTTTTTTTTTTAACACCTATGTCAATCATTTAGCTATATGCTCCTTTTGGTTCAGTTTTTCCTTTTTCGATACATGCATGCTCCTTGTTTCCAGTAACAGAAGTTTATGTATCTTATTCTCTTTTCTTCACGTATACTGATTCTTTCATTTAAAAGAAGTATTATTAATTATTAGAAATTAAAGACGCACGCATCTGCAAAAGCCCTAAGCCCCTAACCTTTCCTTGGCACAAAAGACAAGATTTAGCAAATCATATATATAAAATTCAGTAATTAACCAAGACAGAAATGGTCATTTTATGTGTTGAGAATATAATTCTCTTGAATTATACACTTTTTCATACTAAACTTTCTCCTTTTCATTTTCAGAAAAATTCTTGTCTAAACTAATTGATTTTATTATTTTAATATTTATCTTGCACCTCGTTTTTTTTTTTTTTTTTTTTTTTTTTTTTTTTTTTTTTTTTTTTTTTTTTTTTTTTGTAACTTCTTGCACCTCGTTTCAAATATATGTCTTACATAATAACAACGTTTAGTGTTATGGTTCCAAAGTTGGCAGTTACCTGCCTATGGTGTACGTAATTGAATAATATGATATTCGCATTAATCATTGAGATACTTTGATTAATTTTTGTAATAATAACAATAAAACATATCGATCATCCATGGTAATTTCTCATTACTATTTTAAGAGCATAACAGTGATTACTATTTTAAGAGCATAAAAGTTTTTTTATCAAACAAAAAAAGGTTTCTGTCTAGACTATAGTAATCTATTTGTATCTTGATATATTACTCTACATCTATACTACTAAATCATGATTCTATTTTAAAATCTTTTGGATTCTGTCATTGGATTTTTATCATATTTATAAGAGAATATCACTATTATTTTTAGAATTTTAATTAACTAAACAACTAAACATTCCCTATATTTATGGTAACTGATAATTTTCTCTACTTTTGTAATTAATAATAATTTTCTTTTTATGAAAATTTATACTTTCTATTTAATTCTAATATTATATTTTCGTGCATAATATTATTTACTGATCAAAAATAAAAAATATTATTTACTCTGTCATTTTATCCATAATATTAATATGTCAATTCAATTTTCTTATAAATATTTTTAGATATAAAATAAGTGAAAATCTACACTTATCGTAGGTAATTAATAACGAGAAGAAACTAATATTATTATACGAATAGATTTTGTCTTTTTTTTTTCTATTATCATTGTTTCATTTTTTTACAAATGACAAGAAAAATTTCAGTAAAGAAATTACAAAAAAACAAAATTTCTTTAATATTAAAAGTAAGTTATTTAACTAAATAACAAAATATTATCAGTTTTGTGAGGTTTTAAGCGGATCAACGAATATCATAGTACAAATAAATAGCGAGTTTTAGTATACTTACTGAGTTTTATCAAATTTTTTAATTAATAAAATTATCATTATTGGGTGCACCTATGGGCGTGAGTCAGATATAAAAATACTATGTGAGAATTAATATTATAATAAAATATTTTTAAATATTAATAGACTATTTTTAATCTTTTTGTATTTAAATAATTAATTCAAATAAAATTTATCAAAATGATAAAAATATATCTGCGTTTTTAAAGTGAAGATCAAAATCTAGTATAAAATTATGTCAAGACACTACTCGAACGCACTTACAATAATTAACTAAAAAGTCATTTAGAGATTCCAGAAATACATGGTAAGATACCAAGACACACTATTCGAATACACGTACAAATACAGCAAATAAGTAATTAAAAACAAAACATGTCTTTTTCCTTTTTTTTTTTCCTTTTAAAAGACAAAACATATTGAGGAATGCATCCATTTGTCATCGAAATAGGCTGATAATAACTAATACACAGTTTATTTTTATTTTTGTAGCATGTACATAATTTGTCCCTTACGCTGCAGGTTCCCATCATTTCTGTAAATATTCTCTTAGCTTTTATACTTTCTCTCTTTTTTGATGTATATGGAATTAATAATCTTTATTCTCTCTTCCCCTATATATTCTCACATTTCCACCATTTCAGTATTGCATTGCCACTCAAATCACCTAACAACAAACAAATTAAAAGATTATATTTTCTCTCAAAATATAAACAAAAATGCAGAGGCAAGTGGCACTCATTAAGCAGTCCCTCTTTGATCAGGTTTTCAAAGTTTATTGTTGTTTTAAATAAAAGCACTCATTTAGTGTTTGTTTTTAAATAAAAGAAAATGAATCAATTGAATCTAAAACGGGAAATGCATGCAGGGATATCTCGACGAACAGTTCGTGGAGTTAGAAGAGCTCCAAGATGATGCAAACCCGAATTTTGTTGAAGAAGTTTCCACATTATACTTCAAAGATTCAGCTCGATTAATCAATAGCATTGACCAAGCTCTGTGAGTACCTTTATCTTTTTCATATTGTTGTTTCCAGTTGTGCACAAGATTTCAAGTTTTCGAATAAACGAGAATCGCAATGCAGGAAGAGAGGATCATTTGATTTTAATCGGCTGGATAGTTACATGCATCAGTTTAAGGGCAGCAGCACTAGGTAAAATTTCCCTTTAATTTGATACTTCTTATAAAGAATGAGAATAGTGAGCTTTTAATGGGTTTTTATATATGAAAGTAAAAAGAGTGTAACACAAGCACACTGAAGTTACTTCCATTCTCGTTTATAATTAAATGAAAATTTACTAAACAACAAACTTTTATTTTGCATTATAAGTTTTAGAACTATTAATAGTAATAATGTGGGATTAACAGTAACATAATGTGCATTTTTCTCTTTTTGTAGCATTGGTGCGTCTAAGGTGAAAACTGAATGCACTATGTTTAGGGAATACTGCAGAGTTGGAAACGCTGAAGGGTAATTTCGTCATTCCATTAACACCTGCTAGGGTTTTTAATCGAAATATAAACTCATGGGGTTAAAGTGAAAACAAGTACAACATATGGGCCCGAAATTGCAGTATACCCATTGAATCTTGAACGTTTGCTATACTTAAATTTTTTAAACTTATTCCATACTTGCGACGAGTGCAGATGCGTGAGGACTTTCCAGCAACTGAAAAAAGAGCACGCAACTTTGAGGAAAAAGCTTGAACATTATTTCCAGGCAAGCTAATGATCAAATAAGCTTAACGAATCACAACTTATGTGATGATCTTTATTAATTACATTTTATAATCATAAGTGGTTAATTATTTACTGAGATTAAAATTTATAATGAACAGTTGGCAAGACAGGCGGGGCCTAAGGAGACAGCACGTAGGTCCAAGTAAGAGAGAGAGAGACATTTGAGGAATCGTTAGCGAATTTTGCAGTAGAAATTACTATATAACTAATAAATAGTTCCTCAATGTACGTTATAAAGAAGATCTTGGATTTTAATATTATGTATGCTAATAAATGGTCCAAGTTTCTCTGATTGTTTTCCTTATATGGCCAATATTCTCCTAAGAGATCATATATTCACGATTACCTCTTATTCGTAGCATTTTGGCTTCCACTAACAACGGTATACAACAAAACAAACATGCATTTATCGATTCGCATTTTGCCACGATACGTTGCTTTAATTTATTTTATAATGTTAGATGCACTTCAAAAGTATAGTCTCTAATCTCTGTTGCTACTGCTTAGGGCTGGACAATCGGGGTCCCAATCGGGTTTTGGTTCGGGTTCATTCGGGTTTCGGGTTTTCGGGCTCATGAATTTCAACCCCATTCGAATATTATAAAAATTCGGGTCGGATTCGGTTCGGGTTTAGTCGGGTTCGGTTCGGGTTTAGTAACATGTCCAAGATCCAGTTAAACCTAAAATAATTTTGGTTTCGGATACTAATCGGGTTATCGGTTCTAAAAATACTAATTTATACTCAATTAAATTCACTATATTTTCAATCATTTTATTAAATTTGTGTATTTAGCTTCTATAAACCATATTGTTCTCCTTCAAAATAATATTGTGAAACTCGTCTATCAACCATATAAGATTTGTCATTGAACTATATATGACAATACTAAACATATCATGATTAATGACAAACCAAAACCTTGTATGAACGAAATATTATACATAATGAAACATAAAAGTTAAAGTTAACAACAATTCTATAAACGTAAGAAGTACTATTTAAACTTAAAAAAACAATATTATATAAACTTCAAAACAAAATTATTCGTAACTTAACTTCAAATGTAATGTCAATCATAAACATAAATATTAACTAAATAACACTATATATTAGACTAAATATTTGAGTTAATTATTTATATCCTAACTAATTATTGTAGGTACTCAATAATATATTAATCTGTTTTGGAAAACATATTAGAAATTTAGATTGGATATGATACAAGTTTGTTTGGAATTTTAAAGTTTCGGGTTCTTTCGGATATCCATTTAAGTTCGGGTTCGGTTCGGATAATACCCATAACCCGAAATACCGTAAAACAAGATCCATTCGGTACTTATGTCGGGTTCGGATCGGTTCGGATTCCTTTTTATCGGGTCGGGTTCGGTTCGGATTTTCGGGTTCGGTTTTTTTGCCCAGTCCTACTACTGCTAATAGTACTATTTGGAGCAAAAACTGTAACTCAATAATTTCCGACGCGAATCTAGTAATAATAACGCTTCTCCATTTAATTATTCTTAGTCTTACATTACATGTCCTGAGTTTTTTCATACTATGGGTCATGGGTCAACTCTTATTGCATGGGAAACATAAATATAACAACAAAATTACAAAAGCCCCATGCAGAGAAATGAGTTTCTTAAAATGGTCCAACATTTGTTAAAATGCCTGAGATATATGCCTGAAATGATTTTTTTATTTTAAATGTTTCTTCTGCCTTGCCGTTGCGTATGGTATATAGTATAGACTAGTAGATGCACAGTAACGTTGACTTGTAGAAGCAGAGAGCAATAAGTTTCTCTGCCTGAAAAAAGGAAAAAATAAATACAGAACAGCCTAGTGTTGGGTAGATCTTTTACATAACTAGATGTTGATCTTGATATTTATTGATTGGTTAACTATTTTAATGTCTAAAGCGACGTCGAACCACTCTCATTTATTAGCCCTAGCTATATCTCACTCACTACCACAACCTCCATCTTCCTCACTTTAAAGTTTAAACACACACCAGATCATATTTATGTCATCCATGTGCACCTTTGTTACACTTAAAAGGTAAATCTATTTCCTAGAAAATAATTAAAAAGAAGAACAGGCTGGTTCAATTGTTTCCACAAATCAAAAATGGTTGGAAACATATTGAATAAGAGAGAGGAAATGATATAGAGAGTTGACACAACATTGAAGTACATTAAACTCCCTAACCTCTTTGTCTTTGTGCAACCTTCTTCTTTTCTCTATGTATATATATATGTATCAAACTAAACCATTCACACACATACCAAAGCAAGAACATGGATCACCGCATGACGTCGTGTTTGCTTCTCCTCTTGGTCTCTTTCCAAATTGCATTTGCTCAAGACGCTCCAACGACTCTAGTTCCTGCAATCATGACGTTTGGTGACTCTGTGGTTGATGTCGGAAACAACAACTATCTTCCGACCATTTTCAGAGCTGACTACCCTCCTTATGGACGTGATTTTGCTGGCCACAAACCCACTGGACGTTTCTGCAACGGCAAATTAGCAACTGATATTACCGGTAAAAGATGTTACTTCAACCTCAAGTTATCTTTTTGAAGTTGCTTCAAACTCACGTATGTTTCTCTGTTACAGCTGAGACACTAGGGTTCACTAAATACCCACCAGCTTATCTAAGTCCCGAAGCTTCAGGGAAGAACCTTCTCATTGGTGCTAATTTCGCTTCAGCAGCTTCAGGTTACGATGACAAAGCCGCTCTTCTCAATGTCAGTGACTGTTCTTTCTCATCTGATACATTTTTTTTTTTTTTTTTTTTTGTGTTTCTCTTCTGAGTTTTGTGTTCCTTTTCTTTCTGGCAGCACGCGATTCCGTTGTGTCAGCAAGTTGAGTACTTCAAGGAGTATAAGAGCAAGCTCATAAAAGTTGCAGGAAGCAAAAAAGCTGATACTATTATAAAGGGAGCAATCTATCTCTTAAGTGCAGGAAGCAGTGACTTTGTTCAAAACTATTATGTGAATCCTCTTCTTAACAAAGTCTACACTCCTGATCAGTACGGATCTATGCTTATTGATAACTTTTCTACATTTATCAAGGTAACATTATATTTTTCCATTCAGAAAGGATTTTAGTTATTTTTTTTTTCCATTCTAAGAAATTCAAACACCATTTAAAACAATGTCACCTTCTTTGTACAATTTTTTTTTCTTGGTTGAATAAATTTAACATTCATCCAGAAAAGACAAACAATATTATTTTTTGTTTTGTTTTTATTCTCTGTCTATGTTTTCTCTGTATTCAACTGCAAAGAAGAGATTATGAATCTTTTGTGGATGCAGCAAGTGTATGCAGTTGGAGCAAGGAAGATCGGTGTGACATCACTGCCTCCAACGGGATGTCTTCCAGCTGCAAGAACCCTTTTCGGATGGCATGAAAAAGGTTGTGTTTCAAGACTCAACACAGATGCTCAGCAATTCAACAAGAAGCTTAACGCAGCTGCTTCAAAGCTGCAGAAGCAATACTCTGGTCTAAAGATTGTTGTCTTCGACATCTTCACCCCACTCTATGAACTTGTTCAGTCCCCTGCTAAATCTGGTAAGCCACAAAAAATGATACATAATTTTATACGTTTGCTTTAAGATAATCCATGATACACACACCTTCGTCTTTATAAACAGGATTCACGGAAGCAACAAAAGGATGTTGTGGAACAGGAACAGTAGAGACAACTTCGCTCTTGTGCAATCCGAAATCGTATGGGACATGCCCCAATGCGACCCAGTATGTGTTCTGGGACAGTGTTCATCCCTCTGAAGCCGCCAACGAGATTCTCGCCACTTCTTTAATTGGACAGGGCTTCCCTCTCATTGGTTGATCTCTTACGTCAAACACAAGTCTTCACTTCTGTAATTCGCTGTGTTTCTGTCAAACCTTGAGTCTTACTTACACTGTTATTTCCCTTTGAATTTATGTATCAAAACCACCACTATTGCCCTATAAACGAATTGATGATTACTTACTGCATGAAAACCAAACGTTGAGAAAACAACTTCATACGCGAGAAAACTATATACAAACCCTTCTTGTGCTTGTTCGTTTGTACAAAAACAAAAGTGATTAAAAGATGGAAGTTCTTGAACGGTTAAAATGAACATAGTAGAGTTCCTAAGTAGTGAGTGAGGACACAGCAGGAGTGGGACAAATGGTTAAGCAACTTCAAGTGTTGCAGCATTCCTGTTTGGTGTCAATATTGCCATCAGATGGGATGATACTTCTTTACGTTTTTCAGCAGATGTCTTCGCTTTGGAGCAAGTTCCTTTCTCTAAATTTTGGTCACCCTGCCCCTTAAAGACCAGCTTCTGTTTAGCACCACTCTTGGCTAAGGTATAACCCTGCAGAAAACATCAACTTACAGGTATTATTAACTACCACCAGAGCCTGTGTTTTGAAAATTTTCAGCATAAGAAAACCAGAGAGATAAGAAAGATTCAGCACATTAATTCTCGATGAAGATGAGTAGAGAAAAATCATATACCGGGCGTTTGTAGACTAGTTGAACTGATCTTTTCTCCTTTAGATGAGCTTGACCAGTGGGAACCTGATTTATAAAAAGGAAGCGTTAATGATCATAACGCGAAAGACTGGGGTTTGTGTATGTTTTGAAGCTGCGGATATATACTTACGTAGGTAGTCATGTTTTGGTGACCCAACATCTGTGGTAACTGAGTGGCCATAGGGTAATAGTATGCTCCAATAT